TGATTCTATAGGGCAGAGTAGAACTGCCCTATAGGGTTTCCAAGGAGCAGATGGTGGATTCCAACTGCTGACCTTTTGGTTAGCAGCCAAGCTCTTAACCATTGCACCACCAGGGCTCCATACTGGAATGAGGTGGGTCCCAATTCAATCTGAGTGATGTCCATGTAAAACAGAAGAGATACAGAGACAGAAGGAAGGCCATGTGACTTGGGAGGTATGCTGCAGCTCAATGCCAAGAACTGCCTGGGGCTACCAGGAGCTGTGAGTGACAAGAAAGGATCCTCCCCTACAGCCTTCTGAAAGAACACAGTCCTTCGGACACCCTGAATTTGAACTGTGTGACAATAAATTTGTTCTTATAAACCACCCAATTTGTGGTTTTTACAGCAGCCCTAGGAAACTAATACACTCCTTTATGTGTGCTTTCATTAGAGCAGTTCCTATAAGCCCAGTGAGGAACTTCTTTCCCTCTAGGTCCTTACCCAGTCTATTTACCCTTATATGTAGTCCAAACCTATTGCTCATTCTTATTCCCAAACTATAAAAATAAATCCATGGACACCATATTCCAAGTCACGTCTATCTGTAGAGTTGGAGAATATAGATGCATGAGGAGAACCTAAAAAGCAATTTCAAAGTAGGGTGTGGTTAATTCAGGTTGAGATAGCATCAAGTGTTTAGAGAGATTCGCAAGATATAACAGAAATTTCAGGTAGCTGTGGGGATATGAGTCATAATGGGCTGAAATCATTTATCTAAGAAATAAGGTGTCTCAGCCTGGCCCATGGACCATAGGTAGAGAATCAATCAGGTCTAAAAGATGTTTTAGAATCTGTGTGTTTTGAAGGACTTACCTACAGTCATTGCACAAGCACACACCAGGTATTGGTGGAGTTGGGAAGACTGTTTCAGGAATGAAGCCTGCACTCTATGGATGTATGCTCAGGTTGAGGTTCTGGAGGTGCCTTGTGTTGAAAAGTGATTGGCTCAAAAGTTGAGTTACTGACATGGCAGAATTTGGGAACTATAGTTGGTGCAGTGGTTAAGAACTCGGCTGCTAACCAAAAGGTCGGCAGTTTGAATCCACTAGTTGCTCCTTGAAAACCCTGTGGGGCAGTTCTACTCTGTTCTATAGGGTCATTGTGAGTCAGAATCGATTCGAAAGCAACAGATTTTTTAGTACCTTCTAAAGGAGCCCTCGTATTGCAGTGGTTAAGTGCTGGGCCAGCCACTCCGCAGTGGAAAGATGTGGCAATCTGCTTCCGTAAAAACGTACAGCCTTGGAAACCCTATGGGGCAGTTCTACTGTCCTATAGGGTCACTGTGAGTCAGAAGCACTTGATAGCAAGGGGTTTAGTATCTTCTAGAAGAAGCCTGGATGGTGCAATGGTTAAGTGCTCGGCTGCTAATCAAGAAGTGAACAGTTCAAACCCACCAGACACTCTGCAGGAGAAAAGACCAGTTATCCGCTCCTGTAGAGATTAAACTAAAAAACCAAACTCATTGCCATCAAGTTGATTCTGACTCATAGCAACCCTATTAAGATTACAGCCTTGGAAATCCTACAGGGCAGTTCTACTCTGTCCTATAGGGTCGCCATAAGTTGGAATTCACTCGATGGCACAAAACAGTATCATCTAGAGGAGGTCAAATTGCATAGCTCAGGAATAAGAAAGGTGTTTCAGGATCGGAAAGGTAACTTGGAAAGGATTCACTAAGTTAGGGTTACCAAAAGAACAGAAATTCCAGGGGCAAAGAGTCCAAATCCAGCAGAAGCAATCCTTTGGGATCCCTTGTCTAGCGTAACAACCTTTGTTGTTATTACAATATACTACAGACTACCCAAGAATTTTGCAGGGAGAAATTATCCTAGGTGTGTGAGGGATCTGCCCCACCCTCAGGAAAGTGATCAGTTATGCTAGGAAAAACCAAACTCGTTGCTGTTGAGTCGATTCTGACTCATAGAAACCCTACAGGACAGAGCAGAACTATCCTCATAGGGTTTCCAAGGAGCGGCTGGTGGATTCGAACTGCCAACCTTTTGGTTAGCAGCCGAGCTCTTAACCACTGTGCCACCAGGTCTCCTGTACTAGGAAAGTATCGCCCAAGGTGAATCGCAGCCTCATGCCTATTTTCAGAATTCAACCTTTTCTTTGTCTTTTCTACCTCCTTAATAGTACTAAAATTGGGCTAGTTACCATGAGCTAGTTAAGTCCACATTTCCTATTTGATTTTTTACTATCGTCATAATCAAATGTTAACAATACCAATACCCCCTCACCATACAGACTTACCTTTACTGCCTTTCATGAAATGGGATAAAATGCCACCACTAAAGGGTATCAGAACCATCTGAACTGAATATTAACTTCCAAGGTATTTAGATTGACATTGGTCCTCCCTCCTTAGTGTGCAGTTATGAAAGAAATCTTCACATGAAGTTGTCTTGAATCTTGTATATTCAAATCTACTGTCCATTTTATATTTCAGAAGGACTGTGTGTGTGTGAGGTAGAGGGGTCTGGAAACTGAGGAAAGAACAAGGCAGAACCAAACAGGGACATGGCCAAGACGACTCAGTTATACAGCAGACTCCGAGGCCTTTATGGAAACCACATGCCATTTCCCCTCTACCAGCTACACTCAAGTCCTGCACTGGGTCCCACCTGATGGAAACTCAGAGAAGCCATCACATGACCCAACCTTCTCCAGTGGGGGCACTCTCAGGAGAGACTGCCAGTGCTAATTCTGCCTGGCAATGAAGGCAGATACAGCAAGAGACTAAGGATTTTTCTTTCGCTTATATAAATAAGCCCAACTACTTGAAAATGATGGAATGGGGCTAAACTAGCCAAAAATGCTCTCCCTTAAATCCGTACAGGTATATGCTTTCTACAGGAAGTACTTCTGTATTCTCTGACCTCACCCCACCCCAAGCCTGGTTAGGTGATTGAACTCTTTGTTCTCTTAGCTCCCAGCCAATAGCTCTATCACCCCGCTTATCTCATTATGATTGATGTTTCGGTGTCTCTCATTACTAAAGAAGGGGTTCTTAACCTTTTGGTGCCTTTGGCCATCGGCTGAAACCTACACACCAATTCTCAGAATAATGGTTTTCAATGCATAAAATAAAATACACAGGATTACAGAGGAAACCGATTATACTACAATATAGTTCTTAATCCCAGGATGAGAACCTCCGGAGCACGAATTCCCAGTGCCTAGCACACAGCCTGGCACATAGATGGTATCTATAAATGTTTATTTAATGAGGGAATAGAAAGATAAATGGCTCCTGCCGAGTCAGCTTGAGGAGTGATTCATTTCAACTGCTTGTGCACATATCAATGGCTTGCATATGTCTCACCCTGTCTGAGATCATCTAGACCAGCGGTGTGGGGAAACCCACACTCAACCACGGGTGCCATAACATCTATTAATGATGACAGGCTATTGGAAGACCAGTAAAATAACAAAGCTCATGTATTTTCACCAGCTGGAATATTCAGGTAGTGAAAGTGAACAGGCTGTCTTTAGGAGGAGATCTCTTGACTTTGGAAGCCCGATGCTCACATTACCTTAAACCTCTTACAAGAGCTGTGACGGGAAAGAAAGGAACCTGAGCCAGTGTGTAGGTTTTTTCTAGGGCTCCTTTCCTGCCCCAAATTGGTCCTCTCATCTCTGGGAATGAGAAAAGTGTCCCTAAAAACCACAGTGGGATGTGATGGGCCTTTCTGGGTTCAAGCGGTAGTTTCAGTCTTAGAATTTTTGTTTTTATGTACCAACAGAAAACCTAAAGAAGCAGGAAATCACTAAAGACACATAAAGGGCCAAAGGTTTGTTCTAAGCTGATTGCTAAGCCTAAAAATATTCTGAAAAGAAAAATAAAACCCCAATTTTAAAGCTGAAAACACAACTGTATGGGGCTCAGAAATCTCACCCTTAAGGGTTTTAAGACTGACCCTCCCAAGTTAGAGGGTTTCTCTGGCTATATACAGCCATCTGAGGGATGGCAAAACGCAATTTTCATTGCTTGACAGGGCTTCCAACATCAGTTGGAAGAAACATGGCTTCAGGTAGGTGCCTTCTTTAAAAACAAAAAGAAACTACAGGTCAAAGTTTGCTTTTAATAATAATTAAAAAAAAAAAAAAAAAAATCCTCCCACTCCTAAGGTATGTGCTTTCTTTTTTGACCTATTTTTCCTTTAAATCATTTGCAGTTTCCCTATATTTTCCCTAGTGCAGTAAACAATGCAATCAAAGAAATAAAAACCAGGGTCCACTCTTGCCCCAAACACTGAAGAGGGTCAGAGAGGGAATCACAGCACGGAAATGGCCCAGCTCTAAATATACAAACAACTTAAAAAAACAAAACAAAACAGAATACTCCCCCCGCCCCAACATTATTATTGACATTCCTGGTAAATTTCCTGTAATATAATGCTGCAGACAGTGCTTCTTTCCCAGGGAGTCCAGCTCACTCAGGAGGAGACATCTACTCACTGCCTCAGGAAAGGCTGGGGGTGTTGAGTCTTCCCTGCCAAGCCTAAGGCTTGTGATGAGCTCAGTATCTCACAGAAACATCTGTGGGATAAATGGTAAAAATGAATTAAAAGGGGATGAAGGCAGGTAGGCACCTGTCACTGTTCTCCAAATCAGCCAAAAAGCTGAAGAGTGTGGTATTCAGGAGACAGATGCTGGTAAGAGCTGAGGGATGGAGGGCAGAATAAGAGGAAGCACCAAATGAGTGGCTGCTTTTGGTTCCAAAGCCAAAAAAGGGCCCCACCAAAAACGCAGCTGGTCTGGGTGAGGCACTCGCCTGCTCCTGGAGTCATGCAATAAAAAATGATGGCCTTGAAGCCCCACCCCAACGACAGCCAGTCCAAGAACAAGAGCAATTCACACCACATCTCACAGTTTGCGGATGAATGGACTGATCCCAACTTTGGAGGGTAAGCGCTTTGACAAAGGCGGGGTGGGGGTGGGGGGTGGGGCAAGGTGAACCCCAAAGCACAGCTGTGGCACCCCTGGATTTCTATTTCTGCAAAGCCACAGGCCACTGCTGCCATTGCTCCATGAAGGTGTACCCTTCCACCCATCATCTGCTTCTTCTCAAAACTGGCACCCATGGTGGTAACCCTCAGAGATCTTAAGAGACATCTGCTGCACTTCTGGAAGTAAAATAATTTTCTTGCCCCATCCTTGCCAAAGCACTTCCCTTTTCAAGCTGCTGCTGGTATACCACCTCTCCCTCCAAGCAGAGTTCAACTTCCTTTTGTTTCAGAGTTTTGCACATTCCAGGATACAAAATAAAGTACTCTTAGGCATCCACATGTGAGTGAGTTGCCTTCAGTGTCAGATCTGTTCCGGAGTTTGGTCAATGCCTCTTTACAAAAATAAAACCACATGTGTACACAGACAGGCTAGCCTGGAAAGGGCTTTCTGGGCAGGGTTTCTGGTTGTTGATGCCTCCTCTAAAGGGAATAACTTCCTTCATCTAAGAAGGTTAGGACATTGAGTGACCTACTCTCAGCTTCTGAAAGGGCAGTTTGTTTTGTCCATTTTTCAATGAGGGGGTGGGAAGGACCCAATATTTTCAGTTACAACAACAAGATGTTGTTTTCTTTTTTTTAAAAAAAAAGGATCCTATGTGGAAATGGTGGGACAATGATAAAAAGAAACAAATAATTAAAATTCCAAACCAAAACATATCTCCTGGCCCCGATATCCCCAGTTAATCCTCCAAGACCACAATCTCCACATTGTGGACTTGATGCTGGTGTTCTTCCATCTCAGCCACAACTTTCTCCTCAGTCCTCAGCTCTGTCTCCAAGATGACTGCTTTGCCCTCAGTATCCTCAGCCTCTGGGTCTGGGGCTGGGTCAATCTCAATGATGGTCTGCCCATCCTCTGAAGTGCTTTCAACAGCCTGGATTGCTGAGGTCAGGCCAGACTCCATAGCCACCAACTCCACAGGGCTCACCATGGTGGTCATGTTGCCCAGGGTACCCCCATCCTGCATAGCGGTGGAGCTTAGCAGTGCTAAGCTAGACGAAGGGTGGATGGTCATTGTGTCTGGTGAGTTGCTCTTGGCAGAGGAGACCACTGTGGCATAGCGGAAGAGCTGAGGGCCAGAAGGCAGTGTATGGACAGTCACAGGGCTGGAGCCCTGGCTGAGGGTGGCCACTGGAATATTACCCATGGAAAATGACTGACCCACTGGGGTGATGGTGATGGGTGAGATGACTGTGAACTGAGGCTGCTGGACAGGAGGAGAAGGGCTCAGGACGGTGGTGGAGGCTGGCCGCTGGAGCCGGGGCCTTTTTGGAGGTTTAGGAGTGCTCACAGGCATCAGTACCACATTTTGAACCGTCTGGGATTTCAGCCTGTGATCCTGAGCTTGTTTCTTCTGCTCTTCCAACTGGCGTTCCAAGTCTATGGGAAAAAAAGACAGACTATGTGGAGGAAGGTACAAGTTGGGAGAACAGTAAACTGGGGGTCAGGGGACCTGGGCTCTTGTCCTGGTTTTGCCACTACGTAGCCTCAGGTTAAGTCACTCATTGTTTTAAAATGAAAACTAGACTGGATGACGTCAAAAATCCTTCCAGTAATTACATTTCATTGTGAGATTATAGGTAGGGGGACAGTTTAGAATCTTTTTCAGACTATGATCCTAGTATACCTCAACCCTAGAAACTACTCTAGTATTTTGTCACCTGTCACCAAAATACAAATCAAAAAAACATCCAGTTGGTTCTGAGAAGATGAAAATTTGGAATATCTGCACCAACCCTTTGGAACTGCATTAGACCTACAAAGGAGCTACAGTGGCCACTGAGAAAAACAGTGATTCCCAAACTGCCCTTCAAGGCAGGAACATCTTGCTGTGTTGGCTGGAAAACTTCTTTGCTGGTGACCCAAATGGCCTGTCTCCCGCTGGCCCAAAAATGTCTACAGAAAGTTAGAGGAAATCTCTAAGAATTACAGAACTGAAGTAGGTCTTAGAGTTCTCATTAATTTTAATGGGGATCCGCAGAGCTAAAGTGACTTATACTTACGGTCACCGATCTGGGGCCAGGACAAAAGTCTTCTGATGGTCAACTGGGTGGTTTTTCTACTACAATAAGCCTATCACTCTCCTTCTCACAAGTGTCCAATCCAACTTGCTGACCACTGGTGAGACCACATCTACACCTGAACTTCTCTGTTGATTAGTACCAAATAAGCACCCAATAAATAATTGGTTACACCTATGGAGCATTTTGCTCTCTATGGAACACCAAGAGCAAAAGTCAATTCCTTGTTTGGAATAAAAGAAGTAAATAGGGGTCAGTAACACCTTCAAATTTATAAAATACTACCTTTTAAAGTTATAAAATACTGGATATTTTCTATCTTCAGTAGTAATCGAAGTAATGGGAACTTAAACAAGGTACCAATTAAATCTATAATTTTTTTTTTTTTAATTTTAAATCAGGGAATATTATAAATAACAATGCCCAATGTTGGTGTGCTCAAATTGGTAACATAAATCGGTGTGATCTTCTTGGGAATTTAACAATAGGTCACAAAAATCCATTAAAAAATTATCAATACCATTTAATCTTAAACTTAGTCCTGAGAAGCAGTTTAAAAGGGCATAGAAAGCAAAAAAATTATACCAGTTCACTCCAACATTATATACGCTACTAAAGAAAATTTACAAATTTTAAATATCATCCCTAGAGGAATGTCTAGGTAAGGCACTGTGTATAGCAACTTGGAAAATTATTATTATGTTGTAGTGAAAAAGGCAGAAAAGAAAACTTTATATATATTATGATTAAAACTATCTAAAAAATAATATGGATAATGAACTAAAAGTCTACTTCTGTTAAAAAAAAAAAATTTTCTGATGGCTTGAAATTTTAAGGTGAGACAGAACTCTGGATCAGGAATAAGAAGATAGAGTTCTACTCCAGGCTTTGCTGCCAAGAAGTGATGTGGCCTTAGGCAAGTCATTTATCCTTTTTGGGCCTCTACTGGATCATCTGTAAAATATGGATACTAGCTACCTTAGCATTCTTAGGAGGATCAATGACGTAGGGTACCTCTGAAAGCACTCAGTAACTGAGTTTAAAATATAAACTGGGTATAAAAATAAATTTAAAACAACCTAAATTGTCCCTCTTTTACTAAATGATTCTTTCTTTTTGGCTTCGTGACTAACATATTCTAAATTATTCAAAGGCTAAAAATTCATACCTCTGACTTGTTTTGTATTTTTCACCTACCTTACCTCCTCCAGAAGCTTCTCTTGATTATTGGTGTAAGGATAGGTATAAGTGACTACTCCTTTTGTTCTTCTACCATACCTGTGACATTCTTCTGTCACAAAACTTACTTATTTGTTTCTAGGTCTGCTTCCTCCTTGACTGAGGCTGTTTTATTCAATTTTGAATTTCTGAAACCTAGTTTGGAGACTAACACAAAGTAAGTACTTGATACAGAGTTAAATTACCCATGTTCTCATAATTTCTGATTACCACAAATAATGCAGAAGGTGCTAAATTTACATCCACCAAAAGGAGCAATATTAAAAATGTAAAAAAGACAAAGGCCAATTTCAATTTGTATCTTCTGCCACCAACATAACTGGATTAATGAACATTCCAGTAGACATCTTAATCCTCAAACAGATACAGAAGGAGGACCGTGATGCTGGCTGCTTTGTTTCTGCCTTTGTGTCTCCTTCGCTTCCCACCACTCCAACTCACTTGAGGCTGTGTATAAAGGAAGAGCAAAATCTGATACAATGTGAATTCAAAACAAAAAGCCAGTCCCAAGAGAAGTCACAAGGAAGATGTCAGGACTCAAGGAAATCAGTACAAAACACCTAAGAAGGGTGATAAGTCACACACACCTGACAGAGTATAGAGAAATTGCTCTTCTCCCTGCTCTACTTGGTTCCTCCTGTTGTCCAAAACCTTCTTGACTGTGTCCATTAGGCCAAATGTATGTGCTACATTATTGAGAACAGCGGCATCTATTTAAAACAAAAGACATGCCTGTTGAGTTAAAACAGAAATGTTCCATCAACTTCCTGCTGTGCTGTTTATAAATATGAAACAACCCAAACACAATGGGACTCTCCTAATTTCACGTGGTTTTTTTTTTATTTTTAATAAAGATTTATCACATGACTAACTAATTTTATTTAATTATATCTTGGTTAAGTCTTTCTATACAAATAAATTAAAAAATCAGGAAAAAAATCCCATATCTGGTTATAGGTTTTGACTTTTGGTTTAGAAAACATGGTCACTGTATTAGATAGAGCTAAGTTTGAATCTCAGTTTTGCTATTTCCTCTCTCTGTGACCTTGGGCCAATCATTTCACTCCTCAGTTTTCTCATCTGAAACAAATGAGATTAATAATACTTACCTGCAAGATAGATATGCAAATTAGAAATAACTTATTTGAAGTATAAAACATAGGGACTGGCACGCAGTATTATTATTATTTCTCTGTTCCCCTTTATGCAAAACTAATAGAAAGAGTTGTCAATATTTGCTGTCATTACTTTCTTAACCAGGACCACTTCTCAACCTACACTCTCTTCCACAGTCATCTCATCCAGTTCCATGGTTTTAAATACCACATACATGCTGACAACTCCTGTATGTATATCTCCAGCCCTGACCTCTTTCCTGCATTCCAGATTTATATATCCTTGAATCTGAGCTACATCTTCATTTGAAGGACTCAAAGGCATCTCAATTTAACAAGTAAAAGGCCAGTTCTGATTTACCCTCTAAACCTGTTCCTCCTCCAGTGGTCTTTACCTCAGTAAATGGCATCACTATTCACTGCTCAGGTAAAAACGCCTAAGTCATCCTGGATTTCTTTCTTTCTCTTTCACCCCACATCTAATCCATCAGCAAGACTTATCAGTTCCACATTCAAAACATATCCCCAATCTGATCACTTCTTCCCAGGTCTACCCCTACTATGCTAATCAATGCCACCACCATCTCTTGCGTGGACTAATTCCTTCAAGAGTCTCGCAAGTGGTCTTTTTGTTTCCACTCTTGCCTGCAGATAGTCTACTTTTCACACAGAAACCAGAGTGATCTTTTAAAAATATAAATCTGATCACTTCACTTGCCTTGTTCACAATCACTATGATAGCTTACCATCACCTTAGAATAAAACCCGAAGTTATGGCCAAGGCTCACTGGAACTGGCCCCTCTTCCTCTCTATCCTCAGCACTATCAGTCTCCCCATAGTCTACTCCACTGCAGCTACACCAAGGCTCCTGTAATTCTATGAACCCACCAGGCTCCTTCCCACTTCAGGATCTTTGTTCTGTCTAGAATGTTCCCTCTCCTAGCTTGCTACCTGGCTAGTTCATCAATTCAGGCCCTGCTCACATGTGACCTCCTGAGAGAGGCCCTCCTTGACCACCCCATCTAAAATAGGGTGATTTCTGTATTATTTGCCTTTTTTTCACTCCAAGCATACATTCTTCTAAATTAAAAAAAAAAAAATTGCTCCAAGTTGTTGAAGTGTATGTTCATGTGAGTTATAAAGTTAAGTGTATATAGCATATGGGTTGAAAAGAGGTAACAAGAAACAACTAACAAATCTAAGTAACAACTCACTGAACATACACAAGCATATGAGGTCTCATCATGACCCCATTTATATCAGATGATTAGAACATCCTTTTACATCCTTCACAGCAGCAAGCATCCTGTGAATATTCAAAACAGCTATAAGTACACACAACAGTTCTAGAAGCCTTTAACTGATAGGATATGAGAATACTCTAAAACCAGGTGGAATTCTCCAATTTTCAGATGTATATCAGCCTTGGAGCCCTGGTGGTGCAGTGGTACAGAGCTCAACTGCTAACCAAAAAAGGTCAGCAGTTCGAATCCACCAGCCACTCCTTGGAGACCCTATGGGGCAGTTCTACTCTGTCCTATAGGGTTGCTGTGAGTCGGAATCGACTCTAATGCAACGGGTAATGGGTATGAGCCTTAAATTTTATGAGCCTTAATTTCCTGATCTGTAAAATGGGGGTAATAATACCTACACCTCAGGGTTTTCATGAGGCTAACAGGACCAGCCTACAGTTGTGAGTGTTCAATAAATGACCATATTGTTAGGATTAGTTCACTTACCTGTGACCTGGAATGGAGCCTGGATGAGCCGCTGCTGCACGCCCCTGAGTAGCTCCTCTATTTCCTTCTGTATATTACAGACAACCTCTTCCATCAGCCCGACATCAACTATTCCTTTCCAGAACATCAAAGTGTCCTCTGGCACAAAGGGGACAAGAGAGAGAGTAAACAAGGGATGCTATATAGATACTCAGGCACACTCTCTACAATGTTAAATTCAAAATTATTTCAATTCAAAAGGATTTCTTGTTGGGCTATTTCCGAGAAAATTGGTAAGATGGAAAGAATGGACTATAGGGTCAAACAGATGAATTCAGCTCTGACACATATTGGTTGTGTGACTGTCTCAGGCAAACTGCTGAAACTTTCTGAATTCCAATTTCTTCATGTGTAAAATGTGACTCTGCAGGCTTGCTGCATGGATTAAAATAAGATGTTTGTAGCTATAACGGGTATTAGTATGCATGAGAAAAGCCAGCAAAAATAAATAAGAGGGCTTCTATGCCCAGAAGCATCATGATAAGGGGATAAGGGTCACAAAACCCCACAAGAAATACCGAGGATGAACACATCTGAGCCCCACAGGAATGTACCTGAAATTTCCTCTGAGTCTTTCTTTACGCCCTCCTCTGTGGCCATGGTGACAGCAGCAGTGAGGGCCGAGTTCCATTCCAGCCCTGCCTCTTCCATGCTCTCCTCTGAGATGGCAATCTGTGTGATGCTACCTAGAAGCAGTCCATTGGAGGTGAGGCCAGTAAATTTTATGAAAAAGTCATAGCTATCCTCTACCTGATGCTCATAACCACGGAGCCCCTGCTGTTATTTTAACATTCTGGCCTCTTGCCTGCAGATCCAAACTTTAAAAACTAGACTCCTAGGTAAGCCAAGATGATTGGCTTTTCTAAAGAGAACCTGCCTTGCAAAAGAAAACATTTTCTTCTTACTCTAAATAGAAAGTGAAAGGTAAGTTTTGTTTTTTTTAAAAAAAATCACAAAGCGTAATTTGCTTGCTGAGCAGGTATGTTTTTGAAAGAGAATGAAGGTGGGCATGATTGCCAGGCTGCCTGTCCCAGACTTATTGAGGGTAAAAACGACCTGGACTAATTTAAGAGAAATCCATGGTGGTTGGCCAAAGGCCCTATTATAAGCATGTTTGATACTAAGCATCTAGAATATCTGAAGTTGTTACAGCTTATTTATCAGCCTATGTGAGAGAAAGCAAGAGAAATGAGACCAAAAAAAATCAGCAGATTCACACAGCAAAAAGAATTGAGAAAAACCAAACTGATCCAAACAGAAATATAGGCAAGTGTGGACTCCACATGTAGAAGATGTTAGTACTCAAACAAATGAGTATCAGTAATAACAATAATCAAGTAAAGGAGTTTTGGCCAAATAAAAAGAAACAAAATAATTCCACAGCATTTTTTACTTTTCAAGAGAAAGAGTCAAGTGACCAAAAATTCAAACTGCTAGGTATATTATATTTTCCTGAAATGACTTACTTCCAAAAGATTTGGCTTCTATCCACCCAGTGGTTACGCACAGGATATTAGGGCTTGCCAGAAGAAACACTGAGAGGTCATCTTTAGCACAGTACTCCCCTAACCTTTTACATCCTTTAGCATTCTTATGACTCTGTCAGACACATTTAGAAATCTTCTGGTAGTAGTTGAGACATATTTATCCAGCTGTGCTAAGTCTCCAGCTGGATTAACTAAAACTTTAATAATGATCTCACATGGCTACATGTTTCCTGGACAGTTGAAGCCCTAGTCCCAAGCTCAACAATACTGAAGTTAAGTGTCTGCCCATCCTGCCATCTGTCTGTGAGGAAGTCTCAGCTTAGGAATCTAGACCCTTCCAGACAAATATCTTTGATCCTTACAGCAGGGTCTCCTGAGTCTAGTCCAGCCAATGAGACATGGACATATCTCAGTTCAATGGCTGAAAACCATTCATCATTCTAATCTACTTTCCTGACTTGACCACTAATAGTGCAAAGAGTTTTCAAAACAGTGTAAGCTCAACCCAGACAAGCCAAATGGCACCAAAGTGAAACACTTGAATAAGCATTATAACTACTAAACCATCTATCTAGTGCTTACCATACATTGTAATAAAGAAGCAAGGAAGGAGGTCTGGACAATGGGACTCGTTTGAAACAAAACAAGGTCTGTTTCCAAAGCATGAAATCCCACCCAAGTTTACCGTACCTCACAACAAGGCACATCAACACTCCCGAGAATTGAAATTAAGGAACAAAGGGAGGCACAAGGGGAAAAGTGCTGCTGAAAAATACAGTGGGTTTTCAGGTGGTTTCCTACCCCCTACCATCGGCCGAGGTGGGTGTCTGCACCACACTTGTCTGCTGTCCTGGCACTGGAGCTCTTGCGCTGCTGATTAGAAGATCAAATTTGGTGCTTCTGCAGGTATTGGAGCAAACCTTGTCATGTTGGTAAAAATCAATCTGTCCAGAGTCCATCATTTTCCTATATAAAGGGAGACAAGAAGTACCAGTTCAGCCTGCATTTCATCTAGAGGAAACTAGCCCTCAGGGATAGAGACAAAATTGCTGAGTCCACTTTGTAGATTAGTGAAAACCAATAGTATTAAAAGCCATTAGATTGCAAAAATTCTAATTGGGGCTATAAAATTTTCATTGGTCCTGCCCATGTTTACCAGTACTCCTCTTCTCTTCCTACTCTACTCATTACGCGTCCTCTCTCCTATTTCCTGTTATCACTAAAGTTTAGGTAATACTCCTAACAATAGCTAAGTTTCCCCATTGAACTTCATTGAAACCAAACCCAAAAGACTTTGGTTATAAAAGCCTGAAAGACTAGCTCATATCACAGCACAAATGAGAAATGCCACAGGGGAATTTTGTGATGCGCTTCTGATGTATTATTACTTCTACACCAGTAAGATTTGTTGCCACTTTCACAGATATAAAGCTTCAGCAGATTTCCTTTAAAAACAAACAAAACATATATATGTATACACACACATATTGGTAACAACTCTCCTATGGAGAGCAAAGTTGACTTTACTAAACCCTCACTAGAAAACGTCCTTCTCCCTGGATCCACAAAACATTGTTATTACAGGCCATGAGCAAAAAGATGGGGTATTTTAATTATACTAAACTGTATGTTATAACGTCACTTGGCTTTCACTAAGGAATTCTTAGGCATTCTACTTCCTTTTGGATTTAGGGAAACTTGGCATGTACTTGTTTTTCTGAGCAAATAAAACAGACCAAGAACAATGAAAATGAAAGTTACAGGTATTTTTCCCCAATTTTATTTAACTACTGATTTCTGTATACAAATTATCTGAAAATAAAATTTTTTTAAAATAATGTTTATGGGTTTCCGACTATAAAAATAATATGTGAAGGAAAAAAATTAAAATTTTTAGTGGAAAATACAGAAAACTATAAAGAAAACAACTGTCCTTTAGAAAACAAAACCTAAAACAGAGATAATGTCATTGTTTTGGCATATTTTATTCCACTTATTTATGTGTGTGTGTGTTTAACACAGCTAAAATCACACTGTTTAATTGACTTTATATTTTGTTTTCTTTCTTTACATTACATCGTAAGCATTTTTCCACATAAAAACTCTTCAGAAATATTTTAATGACTGTATAATATCCCATAGTATATACTCATATATATTTAAATGAGTCATAATTTACTTTAGATGTTCCTTGACTGTATATTTTCCAGACTGCCATTTTTTACCATAATAAATAATGCTGCAATGAACATCTTTATGCTTGAATCTCTACAAACACTATAGATTATTTCTTAGGACAGATTCCTCAAAAAGAATTAAAAGCACTTCCACCCAAAGCACAATTAAAAAAAAAAAAAAATTATACTAAGTGAATAAGCCAGACACAAAAGAAAAAATATTATGTGATTCCACTTATATGAACTCTCTAGAATAGACAAATTCATTAAGAGAGAAAGTAGATTAGAGGTTACCAGAGGCTAGGAGCAGGGAAAAATGAGGAGAAATTATTTAATAAGTACAGAGTTTTTGTTTGGGGTGATGAAAAAAATTTGGAAATAAATGGTGGTGATGGTCGCAAAACATTGTGAATGTAATTAATGCCACCAAATTGTACATTTAAAAATGGTTAAAGTAGGTGGCACAACATGAAAAAATGTAATCAATGTCACTGAATTGTAAATGTGGAAGTTGTGTTCGCAAATGTTTTGGCGTGTATATTTTCATCACAACAACAACAACAAAAAATGGTTAAAATAGTAAATTTTAGGTTCTATATATTTTACCACAATAAAAAATAATAAAATAAAAAAGGGTGGAGAACAGTACACATTCTGACGTTTGCTTCTGTGGTACAATGACGGCAAGGATTGCATTCATTATGCACAATCGTTATTCAGCTACAGCACCCTTCTACTTCACCAGGTGATCCCAAGATTTGTCAGTCAGCCTATACTTCTCCACGGTTGTCACACTTCCTTAGCACCAGGCTTAGCTGTGCCTCTGCTTGGTGATCTCAAGCAGGACTGTCACCCACTCCTGCGCTTCTCTGACCAGAGACTATTCTACCCAACATCCTGACATCAGAAAAATCTACCCTAGATGCTAGGAAGAGTTCATTTAATTTGGTCTTCCTTCCCTCCCAGGAATTTTAAGAACAAGTTGATGAAGGTCAAATAATGCATGGATTGCTCAAGTCAATCCTTCAGATGGAATAAAATTTTTGAATTAAAGAGAAAAGAGTAGATTCTCTAGATACTACTATGATTAAGTGTCCCAAAGTGTGTTGGAAGGCATGTGCTTGCCATTAGAGCTTACCTGAGCATGATTCCACCTAAACGAATGGCTCTCTTCCAGTCCTTCAGGGTGGACTTGCCAGCCAGGTGAACAAAATGCTTGGGGCTGATCAACTGATCATTGAACTAAAGTCAAAACAAAAGTCCAAAACAATCTAATGTCAACTTAGCCAGGCAAAGAGGGAAAAGAAAGAGATGATATCTGTACTTGTTATGTACAAAGATACCCAGGCAATATTCTAAGCTATAAAACCAAAAACCAAATCTGCTGCTGACGAGTCAATTCAGACTCATAGTGACCCTATAGGACAGAGTAGAACTGCTCCATAGGGTTTCTAAGGAGTGGCTGGGAGATTTGAACTGCTGACCTTTTGGTTAGCAGCTGAGTTCTTAACCACTGCACCACCAGGGCTCCTCCTAAGCTATAGACTTGTATTACCCAGCCTCCTGCCCTATTGTGGAGCCCTGGCGGCACAAGTGGGTTAAGCATTTGGCTGCTAGCCAATAGGTTGGCACTTCAAATCTGCCAGCTGCTCCTTGGAAACCCTATAGGGCAGTTCTACTCTGTCCTATAGGGTTGTTATGAGTCAGAATTGACTTGACAGCAATCGGTTTGGTTTGGTTTTGCCCTACTGTACCAGGAAAGATGAGCACAGTGTTCTTTTCTGGTACAAAGCTACAGAGGACATCAGGAGGATCTGAGATTAATACACTGATTAGCTCCTAAAATCCATTTAGGGCTTGAGTCAGGTGGTTAGGTCCAGTGTTGCAAAGGCTATTCAAATAAACTAAAGTGATCTATCAGGTCCTAATGACAAGATTCAGGATGTGGCAGAAAAGACAAGTATGACAGAATCAAAAGCACTGCAGAACCTCAAAACTCTGTAATCCTTAATGATTCTAGAATGATGTCACTGAAGGTGACTACTTTTTATGGATACAGCTGTGGCTACCAATGGACACAGAACGAGTAGTTATTTCCACATTTGCTCTCACAAAGATTTTATTTTTATTAATTCTACCACAACGCATACCAGTGCAAGGCATTTGCTCTGTATGTTTCTATAATGCTCTCAAATCCCACAAGATGTAAGTCACTATTATGCTTTCAGAATACATATGTATAATCACTCATAATACGAATTTAGAAACAGAAATATGTCTACCTTTGTGAGGCCCTCTAACATTAACTATAAGTCATTAGAAACCTGTAAGTCATAAGAAAGTTATTTAGAAAACTTTTGAACTTAGACATAGAAATGGATTGAACAATGGGCTCGAACACAGCAAAGACTCTGAGGGTGGGGCAGGACCGGGGTGTGTTTCGTTCTGTTGTACATAGGGTTGTTATGAGAACCTACCTGACAACACCTAACAACAGACATGGAAACACAGAAGCATCTGATATATGTAAAGCATGTAAACAATCTTTAAGTTCACTGTGACCTGGCATGCTGTGACACAAGAAAACATAACATAAATCTAAACAACCTCCCTAATCTCCAACCTTGAAGAAAAGATATGCCATTAGGCTACTCTCTAACCCTGCAGAAAAGACATAACATACTAGTCTTTGACATCACACTGACCCTTGTCGTGTGGAACCAAGATGACAAATTCACATATAAACCCTAAATTTATGCTCACTCACTGAGAGAAGGCAGAGATGGAACTGAGATTCTGCCACCGCCGACCTTGGACCCATCTACAAGGGACCTCCACTGAGTTCAAGCCGTGGTTAAGCCTTCCTTCCGAGACTTTTTGTTAAAGGTAAAAGCCTGAAGTCTAAAGATATGGACTCTAACCACTGAACTAACATTGCAATTGTAATTGCTAATTCTGATTCTCCGGTTCTAAATGAACGCTGTGAGGTCTTACTTGCGTGCCTTGCCACGACTATCTTGCAATAAACTAAATGAGTTTATGCATGTCAAACCTGAGTATCTCTCTGTTAATATTCTAAGATAAAATCCTACACAACAGCATCTTACATATATTATTTCATTTAATCTTCTAGCAACCTTACAGTATACATATATGATTATTAACACTTTAATATATGAGGCTGTGAAATATTAAATAACTTGTTCGAGGTCACCCAGCTAGCAGTAATAGAGACAGGATTCCATTCATTCATTCAACAAATATTTATTTTATTAAACAAGTATCTATGGATTAGCTACTATATGCCAAGCACCATTCTAGGTGTTGGAAATACATTTGTGAACAGGACAGATAAGTTCCTTGTTCTCACGGAACTTGTATTGTAGTGGGACTTCAGCCCAGGTCAATTTCACTCCAAAGTCTTTATTTTTTCTACTGTGACACAACGGGACTAAAGCCACAAAAATAAAAAACATTGATATGGTGGGCAAGAGGAAGGAGGCATCAAAACCACACCCTTTGAAAACAAGGAGTCCCAAAATAGGCCCCAGCAAGGAAAGCAGATAATTACCTTGACACACTTCACATTTATTCCTGGACATACAAATTTCTTCCAGAGGAGGATGGCTTTGCTCTCCCCACAAGTTATGGGGTAAGCAATTTCCATATCCTCGTTTGCTTCTATAGTGCTTGCGTCTGAAAATGGAAAAAAATATCAGTTATTTATTGAACGGCTCTTCACCAAAGCTTCAATTCAAAACCTAGTCTCTTGGCTCCTCTGAGGGGCTAATTATTGATACTTGCTAGTATTGTTTAGGAATCCTCTAGAAGAAGTTTTGCATAACAGTTATCTCTCACCAAGCTCCCACTATGTGCTATGTACTTTTACATGCATTATTTTGTTTAGTTCTTAGAACAATCCTATGAGGCAGTGAGTGTTTCCTCCATTTTACAGTAAGTATGTGGGACTGAGAAAGGTGAAGTGACTTTCCCAAGAACACACAGCTAAGAAGTGAGAAAGTGGAATTCAAACTCAGGTTTGTTTAACTTCAAAGTCTATTTTCTTTCCAGTGACTGCCTTCCAGTCAACACCTTATCAGAAGTCTCATCAGCAACTTCCCTAATGACAGGGATCAACCTTAATGATCCAGTTTCTTTGTGGGATTTTTACAAATTAAAGATCTTTTCAGCAACCCTAGCAAATTGATGTTAAACAATTATTACCAACTGACAGCCCTAACATGTAGCCAGTGGTATCTCTATATGTACCACCATCAAATTGATGGCTGCATTACTGGCAGGGCACAGTGGGCAGGGGAAAACTTAAGGCACAAAAGGCAAGAAATCTCAACCAAGTAAGCTAAGGTCAAAGATACTAGAATAACAAAATGACTTACCAATCCCTTCTTCAATTTTGTGTATTGTGTGAGTTTCTACTGCCACAACTGCTGTGTTGTTCTCCGACCCAGCTTCATAAATCCTGTTGTAAAAGTGTCCATCGATAAACAAACTACATAAATCATGAAAAAATTAATATTCATAGCATGGGGTTATAAATTTGTTTTAATCTATCCCAAAAGGAATAAAATATACTTTACAACTCTATAGAAATGTTAGTGCTTTGAGTAGTTCACGCTTATATTTAGACTCCAAGCTGCCCAGGACTGCTCAGCAGCTACTACCATGGAAATGAATCAACAACGACTTTCCTCACCTTGAAGGACTGTATACACCACTACTTGCTACTGTACTACACCAAACGTTCCTCTTCATAACTTTAAATCTCATGACATACAGCTTTGTACAAGATTAAGTCATATTACACAATTATCCTGATTAAGACTAAAAAGTAATTATCACTGGACAGTTCAAGAAAGAACCATGAAAAGTAATATGTTGACCACAGAAGTTAATGTCCCTTGTTGGAAATCTGGGCCCTTTGGCATTTTTTAAGGCACCATAACCAAACTATTGACATGAGCAGAGCCTAATGAAAAAAAAAGTAAGAGACTATGCCCACAGTAACTAGCAGCGACTAGAGGCATCACTTACGGAAAGGTTATATATAGCCCAAGTCACTCTAAAATGTCTCTACCTTTTAAGAAATGTGCTCAGATAACCTAACATGATACACTGAGGTCCTTTGTTTCATTTCTATAATAAAGCTTATGTGTAATTATTTCACCTTGTTATTCGAAAGCACTGCCTGAGTAGTATTTCAGCAAATCTTTACATCAATGACCACCCACCTCCCTGGTGATCCCTCTAGCACAAACCCCCCACCCCCTTCTAAATTCCACACCATGACATAGTTAACTGCTAACTGAATAAATCCAATTGGATGTCCCACAGGACTTTGCGGAACTCACTGTGACTAAAATAACCATGTTATATTCCCTCTCCTACTCCCCAAACTACTACTCTTCTTCCTATAGTTCCCCCATCCTTGTTAATGGCATCACCCAGCACACTGTAGCCTAAGCCAGAACCTGGGCATTACACTAGATTTCTCCCTTTTCCTGCTCTTCAACTCCCACATAGTCAGTTGCCAAATAAACTACCAGATGAATCTCTTTAACACTAATCTCTTCTCTCCCACTGCTACTGCCTTAATTCAGGCCTCATCATCTGGGTCTGGACTAGTTTCTTTGCACTTGGCTGATCTACTATAGTCCTACCAGAGTGATCATGTAACTCCTTCCTCGAAGTCCTTCAAGAACCCTCTCCTCACTACTAAAATAAGGCCCCAAATCCTTAATATGATATTTAAGCCCCTCTAAGATCTGGCCCCTGGTTTCAATTCTCTCCAAACCCTACTTTATAATCCAAGCCCCAGTTTTATTTGTGGTTCCCCAAAATGCCATCTTTTTTTTACACTTCTGCTTTTGCTCTTACTTCTCCCTTTGCCCCACCTATTTGTTTTTCAATAAGTAGCCTCTATGATGTTTTTCCTACCTCTTCCATCCCAATTCCTCCAGTATAATTACTCACTTCCTCCTTGGTGATCCAAGTATACTTTGTCACAACACCTATAACTCTTAACAATATACACTTGTTTACCTGTCTGTCTCCCTTAGGAATAGTTTAAGAAGTCCCTGAGAACAGAGATTATGTTTTATTCATTTATTCAATTTTGCATGCCCAGCATGTAGCACACTGTCCCTGAGAACAGAGATTATGTTTTATTCATTTATTCAATTTTGCATGCCCAGCATGTAGCACACTGTCTGGAACACGGTGAAGCACCCAATAAATGGGTGTTCAATGAATGAGCATTGGGTGAACATAAGAAACCATCACTTCAAGTGAGATTAGTAAACCGATTCTAAATGATAAGTATGTGAAACATCCCTTAAAAGAATAAATTCTTATTTATACATAATTTCAACGGCCAGTAATTGTACTTTGGGGCAGGAAGTAGGGGGCATAGTCTATATTTTTATGAGTAAACAAGATTTTATCAGGGAAGTATTTTCTAAAGCAATTCAGGGTAATGATAGACTTCGCCTAATTCTCTATACCTACTACAGCTACAGTCAAAACTCATATATTCATAACGTTAACAAGGCATTGTAAGATACTAGCATGCCTTGTGTATTATCAAAGGAAAAAAGGTAAAATTTATGTTTATTAGAACTTCAAAGTTAGGTCTATTTTACTGTATTCTAATTCTCTGAAAACTGATAAACCACATATAGTTTTTTTTTTTTTAATCCAGAATGTTAAGGAAAGATATTCTATTTAACTGAATATTGGATTAAAAATTAAGGATTCTCAAAAACTGAATTATCTTACATAAACTAAGGAGTACCCTACTGATCTATAAATCTTCCTAAGACTTAAAACTTTCCACTAGGGAGGGACATGAGCATGAAAGGGAAGTAGGGTCACTACTCAGCTTCTCAGTTCAGTCCATTACATCTGGACTGAATTTCCTCTACAGAGGAAAGTCAGTCAGCACACTGAGTAAACTTACATAGTACTGAAGTCACCAGACACTGATCTCATTATGCTAAAAATTGTATTATGAATTTGAAATGAACTGGAAAGCTAAGAATGTTGATGGAATCCTAGCACCTCCAGTCCTCCTAGAAATTTTTTGAGTATGTTATAAAAGATTTTATTTGAAAAAGTGAATAGCCATTCCTTTTTCTAAAGAAAGCATATACTAAACAAGGCTTTTATCTTGAAAAGCTCCCAGAATTTACAGCCTTGTAAATTATATATATGAATTATAGCCTTGTACCTTAGTATCTACGTTAAAAAAAAAAAAAAAAAAAAAGTTACATGTGAACATCTTTTAAAGCCAATCTAGTTTTAATACGAAAGCATCAGCTTATACAATGTGTCAGGTTCTATATATTCATATCAGGAGACTGTTACTAGACAGTCTACTTTTGCTTCATAATGTATTCCTGAAAACTTATACATGATGAATACTTGAAATCAAGTGTAAAATGTCATACATGTAAAAGTTAAAAAGACAAAGGGAATTCTGTTCACTGAAATCTAAAAACATTTATATAAAGTTCCTAATTATTTCTTACTTTTTGGATATAATCGTTACCAATATATTCCCAGCATTTCATACATGTTACTTGATTGTTTCTTTGCTGCATACCTGAACTCACAGCCCATCAGGTTAAGTGTGACAGAGGCTGAAGACTGACACCCAGTGATTTTCATCTTTGTCTAAAGTATATTAAACTTATAAGACCTGTACTTATCACTAGTATCAATGTTTTATTTCCCATTCATTTTTATAAAAAAAGGATGGAATGCAATAAAATAAATACTGTATAAATTGAGCACTGATTGGCAGGCATCTCAAAGTACAGTATCTCAAAATTTATTCATTAGCTCACATACTAAATTCAGTATGTGAACAATGCCTTGGGTCAATATATGTTGTACAAAGTTGTCTATATCTAATCAAGCATCCAGAAGGTTCCAGAAAAAGCACTATCATTAAAAAAGGCAGACCAAAGAAAAATAAATCAAACTAAATCTTCAAAACAACTAAATCTATAAATAGTAGAGAAGAAATTTCTGTCTCTACTAGGGGTAAGACAAGTGACAATTGGAGCACTTTAGAAAAGAGAAGAAATGGTAACTCCATGAAAAAATAAAGCTGCAGAGAACTCAAGAACCTACCCCTCATTTCCTCCTCATGTAGCAAAAGGTTGCACCCAAAAGTGTGTGTATGTGTGCATAACAAATGAAATTTTCAAACAAGTCAATCTGGATAAGTACGCATAATCTGATGATGACAATAAGTATTTAAATCACTCTACCAACTATATATCAGGAAGCATTTATATCAACTTTCCCTTATAGAGCTTAGAATATTTCTTTCATGCTTAACAATATTCATAAATGCCCACAAACTGTGGTTATATTAAAAAAAAATTATCTTTTTGAGATACACACTAATTTCAGATTTGTTTCAGAAAAATTCAGGAGCAGGTGAATGTAGACATGAAATAAGACTGGTCATGTGTTGGTAAATGTTGAAGCTAGGTGATGGATACTTACATGGGGGCTCATATTATTTCATTTTATTTTCTTTATTTTTGTATATATTTGAAATTTTCTATACTAAAAAGTTTTTTAAATTACCAAGAGAGGTTCTGATTGTCTTTCTCCAGAAAAGTTTAGGACAAAGTACATTATTTACTAGCTTGGGACTGGATTATGTGTTATCCTGGGAACATTTCTAATCTTATGAAAAATTCTTTATCTCCAAGATAGAATAATTACCTCCCTTCTCTCTGTAGATCTAATTCTTACTTATCCTTCAAGATCCGTTTTTTCAAATCTCCTTTCTTCTTTCAAATTCATAGTCATCCTCTGAATTCCAAAGCACTTCCTAACCATGCCACTCAGCACTTAGATTTTGCCATGGTAGTGATCTTTTTATTTACTTTTTTTGGTTTGTTTGTTTTCACAACCAGAATGCACCCTTAGATGGTAGGAACTCTGTGCTGTATTTCTTTTAATACCTTTGTGATACATTATATTATAGTTGTTGTTGTTAGTCACAAGTGGTTGATACACATTGATAGAGCAAGCTTGATAATTTGTCCATCCATGAGGGTCCAAACAGCTTTCTGGCAGGAATGCTTTTGTAGCTGCCTTGCCTGATCTTCTCAACTCTAAGGAAACTGTCTTTTGGTAAACAAGTATTAAGACCCTGTGCTAAGTACTGTGGATAAATAAGATGAGGAAGCCATATAGCTTACCCTCCAGGAGAAGGAGAGAGACAAGGAAACAGGTAACTGATATGATATGATGAATTACATATATTACTTTATAGAGATGAAAACTTAGTCATTCTAGGAGATTAATGTTGAATGTTCCATTGTGCTAAGCAATGTAAAGTTATAATTTCCCCTCCTTTTAAACCTCTCAAAATCTTTAGTCACTTACCCTTGTTGCACAGGTTGTAACTGCAAAATCACCTGGGTTTTAGTGTTTTCAGGGTTCTCTCCTTCATTTCCTTCAGTGGGTACCACAACCACATCCCCCACTGGGACACTCACTTCTGCATTGGCCATCTTTCACATGAAGTCAGATAGATGAGCTGCTATCAGGAATAAGAACACAAGTAATTTTTTTCTGGTTTGAAAAGATAGCGACCCATAGGAAGGGAATACCAAAATAATGACTACCAATTCCAAGGACACCCTGGAGACTATGGTCCTCTGAAAAGGATGGGAACTGTGAGAAGGGGCTGACATAGGCTCTGATCTTTCCAGAAATGCCTCAGTACTCACTAGCTACTGTAGGTTTTCTTAGTATGTCTGATTCATCTAGTGGTGTGCTTGAGCCAATTCTATCAGTTTGTGAGAACCGACTGTGTGTTATCTCTTCCCAAGTCCACATTCACTGACACCTAAGTTGGTAGTTTGAAATCAGCAATGCTGCAAGTATTTACACCACAGAAATTGACAAGTCCTACAAATCAGAGTTTGTTTGTTTTCCTGGAAAGCTGGTGTATCAGTACACCATTAGTTCCATCTCAAACAATAAGCTCCTGGAAAGCAGGAATCATATCTATTTTCTTTGGAACCAGCCATTATGCCTCACCAAGTACTCAGTCCTTTGTGAATACTTAATAAGTATCTGCTGACTAACGGAACTAAGCTGAATGAGAAAGGGAAGATGGATTACATTGTGTGGTTGTTTAAAAAATGCTGAAGCCACCTGTATGACCTCTAGGAACTTCTTAATACCTCTTTGCCTCAAACTGAATGGAGAGATGATCTCGCCTCATATCCCCTTGCAGGACTGTTGGGGAAACCAGTGTCCAGCATCATGAGCTTCTTGACTCTAAAGTAACTCAAAGCGTTGTCTCAATCTTAATGAAAACTCAGAGGGCCCCAGGGTATTTTACAGCTATTAGTTTTCATGGTTGAAAAGAGAGAGTCACGTAAGAGAGTATCGGTCAGAGCACTGTATTTACTTAAATATGTGAGCATGGGAATTTGTCTAAGGCTGCCTAAACAGAGAAGGCACATAATGCATGAAAGTCTAAATATGTAACTAGTAGTTAAAAGACTTAATTCTAAGTCTCAAGTCTGCCATAGCATTTTTTTGCCTATACTACATACTTAACCATGGCACTCAAGGTCTCCCTCATTTGACCCCAAAATACTTTTCCTGTCTTATCTGCAACTATGATGTCCCAAGAACCTTAAGCTCCAGCCATACCAACCACCCACTGTACTCTGAACATATAATGTACTTTCAGGTTTCTGTGCCTTTGTTATTAGGAATACTAATAAGCTCAAAACAACTTTCTCCCTCATCTCCTTCTCCCTTCGAGGTCCAGTTCAAAGGCTATTCCTCCATGAATCCACTGTCAAGCCACTCTTTTCTGCGTTCCCCCAGCACTTGGTTTATAGCTCTCATCTATATTTATCACACTCTGCTCTGTATTGCGGTTAACTGAATAGACTTAGGTCTCCATCACTGCACTCTCTGTGAGGACAGGTGCTGTGTCTTAGCTAAAAATCTGCATGTCTCCCTCAGCCTTGTTCATCCTAGGCACTGATATGTGTTGGTTCAATTGATTGTGGTTTGCAGCTAACCAAGTTAAAATTTCTCATATCTGACTTCTACTTCTGCCCTTTATGATTCTCATAGTCATACTTTTTCCTAAATGCTACACTCGCTATGTCCAACTGCCTCGAAGATCTTGTGGGCACCTTGAATAGAACCCATAAGGCCTCCCAAACCTGCTTCTATTCTGGGTAAATGACTCCACCCCCACCCATTTTCTCAAGTCAGAAACTAAGGAGTTATTTTTGACTCTTCCTTCTCTTTGTAAACACAATCAACCACCAATCCTATCCATCCTAACACCTGTGTATCTCTTTTAACCATCCCCCATTCTCCATCTTGGCTACCACCATCATATTCTGGGCTACTACCTTCTCTTGCCTGGATTTTTCCAGCTGCTCCTCATCGGTATCCTAATCTCTGGTCTCTTCCAATTCATTCTCCACAGAGCAGCCAAAGGGACCTTAATAAAAGCCACAGGCTTTTTTTTACTTTAAAATTCTTTAGTGGATTTTCACTGCTATTAGAATAAAGGGCAAACACCTTAACATGGCTTACAACATCCTCCAAATCCGCCCACCTGCTGGCCTCATTTCTCATAGTTCCTCCCCTCACATTCTGGACTCCTATCATTGAATTTTTTCCAATTTCTCAAATATACCATATTTCCTTATGTGAGTCTTCACACTTGTTTCCTCTACCTGGAATTCTTTTTCCCTTCCTCTTTGGCTAGTCCCTGCTAACCTTTTGTGACTTACATAAAATACCACTTCTTCAGGGAGGCCTTCTGTAACTTCCTTTCCTAGATTCAAGCCTGTGTTCTTACTCCCTCAGCACCTGCAGCCCCCGTCACAACCATCATCCTACTTTGTCAGCTTCTTTCCCCAGACTATACATTCTGGGAGAATAAGGACTGCTTCTCTTATTCTACAGTTCCTCCGTGTCTAGCACAGTGCCCAGCACAATGGAATGTAAGAAATAGTTTTTGAATATCAGACTTCTATCTACAAAACTGCCTAACTGAACCTTTACCTGGCACACAGGTATGCAACAAATATTTGTTCAATAAATGACTAGCTTTACCCTAAAAGATTTCTAGAATTTTCTACTTTTCTAACTTCAGGGAGTATAAAAATTCTCCCTGAAGTTAATTTGGGGAGTGTTAATTCTAGGCAGCTAGGTGACCCATCATATGGCTAGTTCAACAAATATTTACTATGTATCTACTCCACATAGGAACAGAGTTAGGCTCCTTGGATAGGAACAGGGACAATATCTGCTCTTAAGGAACCACAGAAGGGAAAGAGATGCACGTCTGTCATATACTAGAGGGAAAAAACAACTGTAAAATATTACAGTAGGTAATCTGAATTACTCAAAATTAAAGGATTAAAAGTAGGGGGAAAAAAAAAATCAATGCACTGGTTCAGTAGAACCAAAACCACTAAGACCCTTGAGTCTAGAAAAGACCAAAAGGGCTATCATCAAACATACAAATGCTATCAAATCCTAGAATAAATGAACCAATAAATATCTTCAAAGCTTGCACCACCAAAATGAAGGGTAAATTAAAATAATAATAGCAGCTAACATTTATTGGACACTCATTATTCGTCAGGCACCATTCTATTACTATTTCGTATTTTAATTAATTTAAAAGATGTAATACTTTAGCATATAGCAAATTCATGGAGGTTTTTATTCCAAAAATGAAGTTTAAATTTAAAACAAAACTATCTTAGGTACATTAATGGGTTATAGGAGCATAATTAGAAGGATTTCAACCCTCTACACAAGGCTGAGTCCCCTCTACAACATTCTGAATAAGTGGTTAACTAAGTACTTGATTAATACCTTCTTCAATAGGAATTCACATTTTACTCCTTACCCCTCCCACACCTTGGAACCTAAGAGGAATGTTTCGGCTGCTTCTCTAAACTTCTGAGAGTTCATTAGAAAAGATAATTATAATCATCCACAATGTTTCTTAGTGTCAGTCAGAGACACAGGTCTGATTCAACCTGGAAACTCTTAAACATTCTTTAGAGAAGCAATTTGGAATAAATATCTATAACCCTAAACACCGGTAACCTGAAACAAGCTCTACAGACTATATTGGCTAAATGCAAGTCATCTCTTGAGCTTAACGTAAAGTGAAGAGTAGCTCTTGTTTATAGCAATAAAAACTCCTGAGGCAAGATGAATGAGTTGATCCTTTGGGTATTTCATTGAAGGGGCCTTAGAGTATTCACTGTGGAATCACAGAACACTCTTTGTAATTCTAGGGGAACACACGTAAAAGAAGTACGTCAAACTTTCCTGAGAAGTAGGAATTACTTTGTAGTTATTTTCAAAGACAAAAAAGACACCTTCAAAGGGAGCATGACTGCTCAGATAAGCTATTGGAAACCTAAACAAATGACATCTGACCTACTCTGGATTAAATTCATTTTTGTGTGTGTCCTAAAAACCAATGTCTAAAACATGGCAAGATGCTGTGTGTGAGATAAGGATGAGTGTCACATGATTATAAGGATATCTAGAGTTAGTAGTTGAAAGTAATAGAAATGTCAAATATTCTGAAATTTTCTAACCCCAAAATGTATTTATTCCACACTCTATTGTAACCCTTGTAGATTGTGTGGTCTATTCTTAAGCAATTTTCAAGTTAAAATTTTATTACTTGAGGCCGAAACTCTTTTTTTTTCCTCATCCATTTAGTTGGTGCTCCAGAGTGCTAACAGATGTAACGATGTCAACAAGTAGGCTACAGAGAACCACTGTGAGAGAACTATCCAGAGCAAATGAAGTTCTGGATAAATCACAGATTGGAGACTATGTTAGGTATTGGAAAGCCTGGTTAAGAGCTGGGAGGCTGACCAAAAGGTTGGCAGTGCAAATCTACCAGGCGCTCCTTGAAACTCTATGGGGCAGTTCTACTCTGTCCTATAGAGTTGCTATGAGTCAGAATCGCCTCAACAGCAGTGGGTTTGTCTTTTCTTGGTTTATGTTAGGTATTTGGGAAACAGTGAGATAAAAGGGTTCTCTGAAGGGTCATCCCACTAGAATCCAGAAGACCTCCGCTTAGGACAAGACCAAAATTGGGTCCCAGCTAATCTAACAAAGTTGAGTACAACTTATTCAATGTATTTTCTTAAGTAAATATAAATGAAAAAGTCATCACTTCAGCCAGTAGACATTAAACACACACAATGGATAGAAGACTGACAAAGAAGAGAAAATAGTTCAACCATTTCATTAAAAAGTCTCCCAAATGAACTTTGATGACCATAAAAAGGAAGCAAGGTGGGAGAAAATAATTCCTCTGAGACTAGAGTCATCTGATAGTCCCTTTCCCTAATCCTCCACTAAACAGGAAAATCCCACTTCTTGGTCCTAATAGCCACCAAGCAAGACCCCTTTCCTGTCTGTCAATAAGTGGTTTTGCAATTTCTTCTGTCTTGACAGAATTCAGGTCTCCTCCCGTTCCTTGGATAGCTAAGCCTTCCCCTGATCCCTCGTCAAGGCTTGAGATGCCTTACTAGGGTGGATCACTCTCCAAGACCCTCGAGTAAGATTCCACCCTCATCTCTCCTATTCCTCAATTAGGGGACACCTGGCCAACTCCCTTGCGATTTCAGAAAGCAGGAGTATCCTACGCTTTTTCCTCTCCACGATCTTCTCTCCAGCTCTCAGATGGGTTTCCCCATCTCGGACATGGGCTACCTTGCTCTCTATCTATACATAAAGGAGATGTTCAAGTCTCTTTTCATTCCCTCACAAAGATTTGGATCCTTTTCATTCTACTGTAGGAGGCCCTGAGGTATCTTCCCACTGCCCCCTCATTTCTGGGAAGCCACAGGCCTGCTCACTATCCTTGGAGGTCCTCGTCCTTGTCCCCCTGCTCCCACTACCCACACCTTTTCACACACCTTCGGAAAAGCACCTCTTTTTTCCTCGACTGGGTGGCCAAGGCCTCTAACGCGCCCCTAGAGTGAAGTTCGGACCCTCCTTTCCTCAGCGGAACCCACTCTCTGCTCTTGCTCGCCCGCCAAGTTTCCGAGGGTCTCCTCCCAGGCGGGTATCCGGGCTTCCCTCTCCTTTCGGCTCCCCTCCCCCTTGAGCAGGACCCAGGCCTCTCCTCTGCTCTTCATCAAAGGGCCCGTTGCTCCCCCGGCCCCGCCTTTGGGGGTACCCTCAACCACCCCTCACCCCTTGCCAGGGTCCTGGGCGCCCGGGCTTCTCAGTCCGGAGTCGCTCTGGCCCCTCGGCCGAGGACTTCCGGGCCTCTAGCTCCGGGGGCGCCAGGGCCCCCCAGTGCGGGCCCGCCGGCCCCCGGCGCCC